ATCTTATAGGTGCAGCTGGAACCATGTGTCTTTCTCTTAGCCATTGGCTATTATGTGGATTGTAGATTTCTTTAGTGTTGATGTTGTATAGTCACAAAGGACCGAGCTGCTGATATCGCGTGTTAGTTTACCTAGGTGATGTCATGTACGCGAGATGGATTTATTTCTTGGGCCTTTTGGGCTCTTTAAAAACTGTACCTTGTATCATAAGATAGGTTCAGATCAGAGCCCAATTTTAGAAATTATTAATTTTTTTAATGAGTTTTTGATACAGATATTTCTAACGGTAATACTTTTAGTTACAATTAATGGGGTTTGCATCTATCATGTCACATGACACAAAAAAATTCCTACACACACAACATTTTGTGGGGCCCGTACTTTTTGAAACAAAACAAAAAACTAAGGTACGCAAAACGAATCTCTATAACATTACACAATCATTTTTCCTACAACATAACTCTTCTAAAACCCGCAATTAATATGATTTAATCATTAATATTAAACCATATAATTGTAACATCCCAAGAGTAGGGAGTGATCGTTGGAGCAAAAGAGACACGAACAATAAGCGGCTCATGCCAAAACTTGTAGTTGTGGGGTACATGATTGAATCGAATCAACACCCGAAAGAGAGGGATTTCAAAGAATGTGCAAGTATAAGATTGTACAGTTGGGGATAACTTATAAGAATTAATCGGCACTACCTTTACTAACAAGATGTATCTACTTTTTGATAGTCCAGAACGAAAGAACTCCATAGTTAAGCGTGCTTAACTTATAGCAATTATGGGATAGATGAACTACTGAAATTTTTTTCCAAGAAATGCGTGAGTGAGGACAAAACACGTTGAAAAGTCTTGTATTAATTTGTGGGTACAATCATTGATCCTTGAAGCTTACAACAATAATATTATACAGTGAAAAAAAGTGTTCTCCTGAACGAAAGAACTCCATAGTTAAGCGTGTTTAACTTATAGCAATTATGGGATAGATGAACTACTAAAACACTTTTCCAAGAAATGCGTGAGTGATGACAAAACACGTTGAAAAGTCTTGTATTAATTTGTGGGTACAAATGAAGCTTACAATAATAATATTATACAGTGAAAAAAAAGTGCTCTCCTGAATCTTCGCAAAACCTAACTAAAAGTTAACGGGGGATCCTTGAATGTGATAAAATAGCACGAACTAAAATAATTAAGAATTAACAGATACATTTATGCATTCTATCTTAAATTCTAAAAAAAAAATCACAAAAAATGTATAGAAAAAAAATCTGGCAGAATAGTTTTTAAAATGAAACTAAAGTATAAATTAAATTTTATATATCAAATTATAATTTTAAAATAATTTAATCTTTTTTTTGGTAGGCAAAAATAATTTAATCTATTAATCTACTTTTTATATAAGTTTAATTAATTTCCCGTGCGATTCATAAAATTATGAAATAAATTTCTCATATTTTGATAAATTATTATAAATCTATTTCGATTTAAAATTTTAATTTTACGCAACATAAAAACATAAAAATATATTTATATATCATAGAACACACAAATTATTTAATCTGAAACCATCCCTAATAACAATAAATACAAAAGAGTTATACTTATATGAGTTTTTAGTATCATTTAAATTAAAAACATTTAAAAAATAAAATATTTAAAATTTTGAACGACAAAATATATTTATTTCGATTTTTTTTATAACTTATAATATCTTATAATTAATAAATTTATATTACAAAAAAGATAAACATTAGCATCTTAATGTTCATTCTGTATTTAGACATAAATAACTTCATTTACAAGCACCACACATACACACATGTATATCTTTAAATATAAAGGTGAAAAGTTCCAAACGTAAATATGCCAACAGGTATTTTTTTCAGAGGAACAGTGTTTTTATTAAATTATTTAAACAGGGAAAATTTTAGATGCTTAAAATTGGTCATCATATATATTCTCTTGGATAATGGTATTATACATTATGCACATTGGTCAGTAGGTTTAGGATATATTTGTAGTAAAATTCAATAAGTGCTTGTAGCTGTTATATGCGGTGCAGCCCCTTTATTTAGTATTACAAACTTTTATGGACAACATTATGTGTATGACAAAAAATAAAAATAAAATCAAATGATAAATATTTATTTTATCGTGCTTTAACTGATCACAACAATTATAATATTAGATTAAAAATATCAAAGAAAGACTTATTAAAAAAAGAAAATTAAAAGGATATCTCCGTATAACTCTCACTTATGAAATTGATGAGGCGTTATTTTATTTAGGTTGGAGGACATGAGTCAAACTCATTCCCCATATTTTATATTTGTTTATATATCTAGTGTTAGCCTATAATTCTCTTCAAAGCAAGATATATCTATTAATTCACCGCTCGTGTTAAAAATAATAAGAAATACAGTTATAAAGAACAAAATATTATGGTAAAATTATTATTATTTTTTGGTAAAATTATTGTATATAAGGAATAAAAATCTGATACGCATGAACTCTTGCGTAGTATGAAGCGCGAGAATGTTCTTGAATCATGAGTCACGCGCCTAATAAAAAGATTTGTATGGAAAATAAAAAATTGTAAAAAGTAAGATAATATATAAAGATTATAATAATAACTATCATGAATATAAAGAACACGAAGAAGCAGAGCACGCAGAGGAGTAGGTGGGTCCCAAGTTCCCAGCCATTGAAGAAAGATGCCGGCCACGTGAATGGCTAACTTTTAAATAATAATAATAACTTTGTAGATAAAGTGGGGCCCATATTAGCCACGTAATCCAGGTGGACCCCACTCAGAGTGGGCCCAAATCTATCCATGTTTCCTTCGATGTTCTATCTCTATCTTTCTTTTTAATTCGCATTGCAGGCGCAGGTCCCAATATTTGTTAGAACAAGCCATCGAGGATGACTGACATGTTTTTTTTTTTTTTACGCTGAGGAAATCATCAACAGTAACGTCCCTGTTCTTCCACGTGTTTTTATCTCTATTCACCACGTCACCTCATTATATCCACTTTGTTCAACCTCAACGTGTTACCTTCTGCGGTAATTGTTTACTTCACCCTATTCGGATAAGCTCTTCTCTCTCTCTCTCTCTCTGTCATCTTAAAAACAATAATAAAGTACAGCTTCCTAATTTAAATACAAAGATAATTGACTTTCTAAAATCAACACTATAATCAAATTAAAATTCATGATACAATTAAAATATATATAATACATGATTTTGATTTACTATTACTAGTTTTTTTTTTTTTTTTTTTTTTACATATTTAACTATCATAACAATTACTCTAAACGTCATGTAACATATGGACAATAGCTACATGATACATTTTAAGTTAAATTTTAAAGTACATTTCATATACTAATGAAAATGATAACGAAATTATATTACCACAATATCTTTCAAGCAGCATAATTTTTTAATATAACTTAGGATATTAAAGATTAATTCTTTCGAGGCGTAAAAATTATTGAAGTGAATTTATTTTTTTTTATTTACTAAAAAAACTACTATTCATGGAAAGATATATGAAAGAAAGTAATAATAAATGTAAAATATCCTTTGATCAATAAATTTCTATACTTCTAATACAACCTAAGAATTTATCCTTTTCAAGCAAGGAAAAAGCGACAATTCGAATATACTTTACTTTGATCATTTTTGTGAGTGGAGATAATATATATGTTTAAAGTTGGAAATTACGTCTGACAAAAACAAAAGCATAAACTGCCCATCACTCGGTTTATTATACAAACCATACTATAGATGTGATCAAAATTTAATTTTCTAAGTTGGTAATGCCACTGGGAGTTCTCTATATGGTAATATAAGATAGAACAATTCCTTGTTTGAACAGAAAGATAGTCAGTCACCTTTAATTGATTTCATTTTCTTTCTTTTTGATTTTTCTCAGGTAATATTGCGTGTTGCAAAACAACCCATAATTAACAACCCCAATAATATACTAGCAGACAAAGGTAGACATACATACTAAAACACGCCATAATTAAGTTTTTTTAAGCCAAAAAATTTATTTTTTGTTAAGGAAAAAATAGTGCACCCGACTATTATTACTAGAATTCATTTTAATGTCAGAGCAACAACGTGTAAGCAGAGAAGAGCGTGGTATAATAAGAGTGTTGTGTTGTAATGAGGGGTAATGTGGATTAAAGGGATTGGTGAAAATATAAAAGGAATGGATGCCAAGTCAGCAGTCAAATTGTGAGAGAGAGTAAGATGACACCCACACGCCACGTTCTTCAGCAGAGGATCACGTGGCCACTTGTTGGAACCCATTTACTCTTTGGCAGATCAGATCATATCATATCATATCACAACTCTTCCAACAAAAAATAACAAGTCCCCAACCAAATCTCCCAACCTTCTTCTGCAGATAACGGAGTACCAGATACACCAGGAAACTTGCGCCTCCGTGTGAACAAGGGTTCTTGTTAAACGTTTCCATTTTCCACACCTGTCCCTGGACCATCCACCTTTATAGTATTTAACCATATATATATCTATCTATCTAAAATGATTAACAAATATTTAGAGCAATTCATTAAAAAAATAAAATTATATAATTATTTAAACATCTCTTAAAAAGTAAATATATCTATTAAGAAATTTTTTTTTTTATTTCTCTTGTATTTTCCGTATAGACCACGTGATCCTGTGAATTGGCATTCAATTCATATTTCCTTTTTCCTTCCTTAATACATACCCATCCTTATCCGTTTGACATAACACGGGCTATACCCGGTAACCCTCTCAAACCCACAATTTTTTTTCTTCACAAGTGAAAAACTGAAGGATAGAAAAAGAGTAGTCGGTTACAGTTAGCACTTAGCGCACACCCTGATGAGATAGGATCAAATCTGAACCGTCCAATAAAGTCTTTTACGTTGCCCCCATATAAAAAACAGGTTCGTTCTTATCCGCAACACACCACACAGCAGCGTCGTAGTTTTGTTTGCAGAGAGACACGCCACACACACGCTCTACTTCTTCTATAATGGAAGGTGTATTAGTATTAGTTTCTAGGATTTCCATTACTCAAAGATTTATATTCCTCTGCAACACCCACCTATAATACCATCACCCTAAATCACACACACATACAAAAAAAGACTCCATCTTTAACCTTTTTTTCCCTTCTTCAACCAACCAACCACCTCCACCAGCTAGTAAAAGAGAAGGAAAAAAAGAAGAAGAAAAGAAGATAAGATTCGATTTTATCGTGGTTATTGGGTAATGCTCTCGAGATCTTGCTTGGGTTTATTGAATTTGGTATCAGTGGATGATTACCAAGCGCTGAGCCGTGTCCCGAAGGTGATGGCGGTGCCCGGAGATGTAGCGGAGTTGGAGATCGACGACGTCGTTTCGTCGGGTACTCAAGAACGGAGGATCATCGTGGCGAACCAGTTGCCGATACGAGCGTGTCGCGACGCGGAGGGGAAGAGATGGAGCTTCGAATGGGACAGTGACAGCCTCGTGCTGCAGCTGAAGGACGGTTTCCCTTCCGACGTGGAGGTTCTGTACGTTGGTTCGTTGAAGGCGGAGATCGACGCGTCGGAACAGGAGGAAGTTGCGCAGGTGCTTCTAGAAAGGTTCCGGTGCGTCCCCACGTTCTTGCCTGCGGATGTTTACAACAGATTCTACCATGGTTTCTGCAAGCATTACCTATGGCCTCTATTTCACTACATGCTTCCTATGTCGCCCAGCCAGGGTGCGCGTTTCGACCGTGCGCAGTGGCAGGCCTACGTGCTTGCTAACAAGATCTTCGCCGATAAGGTCACCGAGGTTATAAACCCCGACGAGGATTACGTTTGGGTCCACGATTATCACCTCATGATCTTGCCCACTTTCTTGAGGAAGCGTTTCCACCGCGTGAAGCTCGGGTTCTTCTTGCACAACACGTTCCCGACGTCGGAAATCTATAGGACGATACCGGTTCGCGATGATATTCTGAGGGCCTTCTTGAATTGCGATTTGATTGGGTTCCACACTTTCGATTACGCGCGGCATTTTTTGTCTTGTTGTAGCAGGATGTTGGGTTTGGATTATGAGTCCAAGAGGGGTTACATTGGACTTGACTATTACGGTAGAACCGTGACCATAAAGATTCTCCCCGCTGGAATTCACATGGGCCAGCTTGAATCGGTGTTGTCGTTGCCTCACACTGCTTTTAGGGTCAAGGAGTTGAAGGAGCAGTTTCGGGGGAAGGTTGTGATTTTGGGTGTGGATGACATGGACATTTTCAAAGGTATTAGCTTGAAGTTCTTGGCCATGGGACAGCTTCTGCAACTGCACGAAGATTTAAGGGGTCGAGTGGTTTTGGTTCAGATTCTTAACCCTGCAAGGAGCAGAGGGAAAGATATTCAGGATGTGAAGAACGAGAGCGAGGCCATTGCCAAGGAGATTAACGAGAAATATGGCAAACCTGGGTACCAGCCGATTGTTTTCATCAATGGCCCCGTTTCGACCCAGGAGAAAGCTGCATACTATGCCATATCTGAATGCTGCCTTGTCAATGCTGTGAGGGATGGGATGAATTTGGTGCCTTATACGTACACTGTTTGTAGACAGGGAAGTGTTGCTTTGGACAAGGCACTTGGCGTTGAAGATGGGGCTGTGAGGCCTAAGCATAGTGTTATCGTTGTGTCTGAGTTCATTGGGTGCTCGCCCTCGCTCAGCGGAGCAATACGGGTGAATCCGTGGAACATTGATGATGTCTCGGAGGCCATGAATTCGGCTATCACAATGGCAGAGGCAGAGAAGCAATTACGTCATGAGAAGCATTATAAGTACATAAGCTCTCATGACGTGGCATATTGGGCTAGGAGTTTTGATCAGGATTTAGAGAGAGCTTGTAGAGAGCATTACCTCAAGAGGTGTTGGGGTGTAGGCCTTGGCCTGGGTTTCAGAATTGTTGCTCTGGATCCTACCTTCAGGAAACTTTGTGTGGATAACATTGCCTCTGCCTACAGAGCTACACACAATCGGTTGATCCTTTTGGACTATGATGGCACCATGATGCCGCAGGCCTCAATAAACAAAACTCCAAGCAGTGAAGTTATCTCTGTCTTGAATTATTTATGCAGTGATCCCCAAAATGTAGTCTTTATAGTGAGCGGCAGAGATAGGGATTGCCTAAGCAATTGGTTCTCTCCATGTGAGAAGTTGGGTCTCTCTGCCGAGCACGGTTACTTCACTAGGTATATTGAATTTACATGTTACAGAAATTCATAAATGCTGGGTTTTTGGTGTTTTTGTTGATCCATTTTTGTTGTTGTTGTTGTTGTTGTTTTGGTTTTGTTCTTTGCCTGCTGGCAGGTGGAGTAAAGATTCTCCTTGGGAGACCTGCGGTTTGACAACCGACTATGATTGGAAAATGATTGCAGAACCCGTGATGGCGCATTATACAGAAGCAACTGACGGTTCTTTCATTGAACACAAGGAAAGCGCAATGGTGTGGCACCATCAACTTGCGGATCCTTCTTTTGGATCAAGCCAAGCCAAAGAGCTTCTTGATCACCTGGAGAGTGTGCTGGCTAATGAGCCAGTAGTGGTTAAAAGGGGACAGCATATAGTTGAAGTTAAACCTCAGGTATAAAGTATAATCTTTGAACTGACAGTGTTATGAAGGAAACTTAGGCTTTTATTTGTATTTGCTGGGCCGAGAGACACAATGACTCACTCTTCTTGAGTGCATTTTTGTTTTGAGGAGACAGTTTTCAAGTTTCATTGATTAGAATTAAAATTATTGTATTTTTTCTGAGATGCAGGGTGTGAGCAAAGGTATAGTGGTGGAAAATCTTATCTCAACCATGCGAAGTGAGGGAAAGTCACTAGATTTTTTGCTGTGCATAGGAGATGATCGCTCGGATGAAGATATGTTTGAAAGCATTGCTCGTTCAGTTTCTAATCCGGATCTGCCAACCATATCAAAAGTCTTTGCATGCACTGTTGGTCAGAAACCAAGTATGGCTAAATACTATTTGGATGATACTACTGAAGTTATCAAGTTGCTCGAAGGACTTGCAACGGCATCAGCACCACCTACGTCCGTAACTTTTCAGGAATTGCAAGGAACACCATAGAAACTGATACAGAAAACAATCTTGTACAGAATGATACTTACTTTTATAGGTTGATTCGAAAAATTCAATACTTAGAAATTTACAGATTAGCTGATTCATGTTCTTCACATAACTCGCAGCAAAATTTCTTCTTGCATAGAATATAAGTTTCTGCACTGTGCAATTAAAACAGGCCTAACAGCAATCTTTAAGGAATGTAAGGTTTCAGTAAACAACAAAGTTTCTTGACAATGATCAAAATGGGTAGGGGGATTAGGTCTTGGCACTGGCTGTCAATTTTGAGTAAATTTACCATTACTTTATTATATCGCTGACTGCCTGCGGAAGCTTCCTTGGTCAGGACTCGGTAAAAAGTGAAACCAGCAAGCTTAATTTGCTTATGTTGGATGGTAGTTGTTGAAGTGGTGCAAGTTACAGGGAAAAAAAAATGCATTTTGGATTTTAATTAAATGAAACCACGAGTATCACATGAAGAGTCTCAGAGCACGCTGTTGGTGTCCAGAAAAAGTTGGAAGTACTGGTTGGTCATAACAGGCTGGCAAATTTACTTTTCCTTGCAAAGAAGTTAAAAAGAGCTTGTGACAGATTGAAGTTTCTAGTGTGTTGAACAGTTAATCATCTAAATGCACCCGGATCAGTAGAACCCGTGAGTATCTTTAAGAGCAAGATTTTTTCTTAACCAATATGCAACATTAAGGAGAACCAGAAATCAATATCAACTTGACTTGCGGTACATGTTGTTTTTGAAATTTTAGAGTTCAAATGCAGTACTCAACTACTTGCTTAAACTTTTTCTAAATGAAGGAAATTTTCTTTGGGCAGCTCCAATTACAATGCCCATTTTCCACCGAATTCGTCATTAACTAACACTCTGTACTAGCGTTTTGATCCCACCTAAAAGCAGTTTGCTTGATTGACTTGGAAGCTCAGTAATCAGTTTACAGGGTCCATGAGTTATCTTGGATCCTAATTATATCCTAATGATCCAATAACATTTGTCCAGGTAAACTAGCACGTTGATCCACCAAGACAAGGACTTAGATAGTATTCAATTGTGCACCAATGTATAATGAAATGGCTCAATCATGTAAGGAGCCAGCTATATCTCAAGCAGCCTCTGTTATGTTGACACATGGCAGGGAACCAGATGGACTGATCTTGTCCATGTGAAGTTGTGAACCATATTTGGGCATCACTTGTTTCTTTACAGGGAGCTGAGTCTCCTTGAGGGACAATGAAAACAAGCTTCCTTAAAATGAAAGTTAAGGTTATCTTAGATTTGAAAAAATTCAACCAGGGATTGTTCCTTTGGATATCCCAACCCAGCACTTGAATGATATATAAAAAAATGAGGTCAAAAATCAGTGAAACATGTCTGGCAACATTTCTTTTCTTTCCTTGATGAACTATTTCAACTTCCTTTCCTTTTCATTAATTTCAAATCTGATCAATCAGTCAAGGTATAGTCCATATCAATGCTACAAATGGCAAAATCGCACATGGCTAACGTACCATGCATACGACTGGCTCCCACAATGACAAGTGAAAATCAACCGTTAGCGGGAAGGCTTCAAATTTTTCAACACATCATTAATCAATGTTAGATTATGTGCTTCAAACATGCTTAGAGTGTGAAAATGGTAAGACACAAACATGGAGGAAACCTTCTAACTTCTAATTGTTCTCTTCATCTGATTTATAGTACAGTTACGGTTAACAAACTTTTTTTTTTTTTTTTTTTTTCCTTTTCGATTATTTACTGTATATCTGTGGACATTTCTGAAAAGGTTGCAAGTTAGACTGAGAACTGAAGTTAAAGCTTAATAAAGAAGTAGATAGAATGCAGGAAAAAGACTGACCAATCCACCTCATTATTGTTAACTTGCCAAAGATCTAATACAGTTGTTGCTCATTCATTTAAGACAAACTCACTTATAAAAAGGTAACTGGAGTTGCGGCTATGTGTCTGGGATTGTGCAGAAAAATTCATTGCAGGGCAGTGCCAGTGGTCGTTAATACAGCATGATTTAGTGAACAATTTTTATCCATTTTTACTTATGTGTTATTTTTAATGCGAAATTACGAAAATTAATTAAAAAATCGAAGTATTCACTCAACCACTTTTATGATAAAGATGGGACAAGGGAAATAGTAACGAGTGCTAAATAAGAACTTCAGTTTGCTTACTGTTTACGATTGCTAAATCATTGCAACCAATAATCTTTTCGTACCAGCGTTTATCATCAGTTCAGTGTAGTTGAAAAAAATCCTTCTCATACACGATCTTACAAAAAAATAGTCCCAATTATCAACGTCCAACAACTAGTAAAACTTGAGAGAGAAGACACTTTTCAATTTTGAACACATGGAATTGGAAGCTGCATTAGGCAAGTGAAAGCAACAGTTCTCCCCAAGATTTCATATAAGCAACAATAAAATGACCACACACATTTTATTTGTGTCTGTTGTAAGAATTACTTTGTAGAACTTTGGGGTTTGAATTGGGAACTGATGTTTACGTTGTAATATTAGAGGGGGGGGGGGGGGGGGAAGTCAAAAAGAAAAAGGTACATAATTTTTATCTGCCTGTTTGACATGGTTGGATTGCTTTCAAGAGTTGCATCCTCCTCATGACGCAAATTTGAAGACATGTACCAAAGGAGGAAACAAGTTTGGTACTTCATTTTCATAGACATAAAGTAGAATGAAATCAGCAGCGCGTAGGGATAATACATAAATAACATAGTTGTCAAGTCTCACACGACTCAGATTTTCTCCCTTTAGACCCACCACGTGCAATTCGTCCAAATAAGGGGCTTAGATAGAACCAGTCCTTTGTTGGTGATAGCTAAACAGAATTTGGCATACCCACGACGTGGCATTCATGCCAGATAAGGTGCAAGCTAAATCCAGGTAAAAACCATTCATACCCACGATTAAATGGAAACTTTTTGTTTGATTTTTTTTAACATAAAATATGTTAATTTACATATGAAATAACTTCAAACTTGTTAAGATAGTCGAAGAAGAAGAAAACCCTACTGACAACGATTTTTACGTACATATGAATTTCGAGATCAAACCCAAAATCAGGTGCTTAAGTGAATCACACTTCTTCAACTCAATTAAGACCGGTTCATCTATGCCAATTTTTTCCAGTCAAATCGGTTTTATTTGGTTAGAGCATACATTCGAGTCGGGTAAGATTATCATGGTAACAAAGCTCTTCCTAAGGTATAATACATGAGAAATATTTTTCTATGTTGTAGGAAAGCAGTTATCTCATGATGTAGAAATAAAGTTATAAGTGAGACTCACAGGTAAAAGGAGAGAGAAAAAATAATGATGAGACTCAATTCCTTTTTGTGCGTAGGAAAGTTGTTTATCTCATGTAAAATGAGATAAACATAACCCATAATACATATCCATAATTTGAACTCAAAACAACTAAAAAGATCCAGGTAAAACCTGGCAAAATAGAGTTCGCCCAGCCCCACTATCCAAACGGGACGGGGCGAGCTAAATTTTATAATCCACCCAATTTGCCTAGCCTGCCCCACCTAACTTATCGAACGAAGTTTTTTTATTTTATTTAATGTAAAACAGTCGGCCCAACCCGCCTTGTTAATTTATTTTAAAAAATAGAGTGGGATGAGATGGATTGTTTTTTGATGGTGGGTCGCCCATTTTGTCATCTCTAATCCACATACTTGGTTGTTCAAACTCAAGATTTTTTATCAAAGAAAACAATTTTCTTGCCACATCAACGAATGATTATCAATTTTCCACTTTTAATAAAGTAATTAAGAAGTTTGATACTTTTATGCCTATAATTTTTAGTATAAATTCAACACAAAATAAGACTATGGATTTGTTTCAAGTCCAAAGGGGGAGATCCAGTGGTTAGGTAGATATGGATTTGGATCCAGTATGGAACAAAATTGAAGCAGGTAACTTGGACCCTAGAGTTCAATTCAAAATCCAATTGGGATGTAAAGGCCCAAAACCGTCCATAATACTTCGCATGGTCAAGATAGGGACAGACGGACAGTGGAATGGAAGTCCTGTCCTCATAGACCCTGTCTCCATTGAAAACCCAAAAATATCATAATTAAAAAATATATTTTAATCTCAAAATAGTAGCATGGACTATGAATTCTTCATTCTTAAAGAGCAAAGAATAGACATGGCAAAGACGGTGGCGGAGTCCAATTTGACTTGTTTCGTGTTATGTGCTTCTGATGCTTTTGGTGAATCACTCACTATATGACCTCTGATACACTCTGCTCTCTCGTGTTACATTACATTACATTACATTAATTCCATTCTACCATTCTCTTTCTCATGGAACTCAAAAAGGACAAGCTTGTCAGGTATATCCCTCTTCCTCAATTTTTGTTTGCTTATGTTAGCCAACACCATTACCCTTTTATCAATTAAGTTTTTTATTTTTATTTTTTTTTAGTTCTAATAGTAACTGAATGTTAAAGCTTCAAGCTTCCTCCGTGAACCCTTCTACTCTATACTGTTTTTAATAAAGTTGGTTCATTTATTCCATGAATTTTGTTTGTAAACAAGACCCATTTGATGTGTGCTTTTAGAATTTATAAAATCTCAGGTTCTACACAGAGTCATCATCCACATACAAAGTTTCATCGTCTTCCTTGCTCAAAACAAGCAATGCACTGCCATGGGGTAAGAACAGATTTGCTGAAACATTTAGAATTGAGGGATCTAAGGTATTCCTGGAGGATCATGATGCATGGCGTAAAACGATACTTGACCCGGGTAGTGAGATTGTGTTGAAATGGAACCGTGTCTTCATCATTTCATGCTTGGTGGCTCTTTTTTTAGATCCTTTGTACTTTTACTTGCCCAGTGTGAGAGGAAATGCTGGGTCTTCTTCATGCGTGAGGACTGACACAGATTTAAGGATTGTTGTCACCTTTCTTCGCACTATTGCAGATATCTTTTATCTATTGCATCTGTTAATTAAGTTCAGGACAGCTTATGTGGCACCAAGCTCACGGGTATTTGGTAGGGGTGAACTTGTCATGGACCCCAAGAAAATTGCAACAAGATACATTAAATCTGATTTCTTCATTGATTTGATTGCCACACTACCTTTACCACAGGTATGCTGTTCTACTTGCCATCTTTTGGTCTTTTCATGACATATAAATCTACTGCAAACTTGTCTGCCACTTGGTTCTGATTTCTGTGGGAAAAAAAACTGGAGAAAAAGTAAATTGAGAAAAATGTTTAGCAAAAAGAGTATCTTAATGAGTGAATGAACTGAGCTTGTTCCCACCTTGCAAGTTGCTCTATCAAGCTTATGATTTTATTGAGTTACCAATAACATGACGAGTGCAAATTTCTGTTTGATACTCGTAGTCGAAGTATTTTCATTTGATCTTCCTTCGTATGCCCTCCTTTAGGATGGCTAAGAAGATGTGATAGTGTTATTCTTCTGCTGGTGGTTTTGGCCTTGATTCATGACCTGATTTGAGTTTTTTGCTAGCTAAGCTCAAGCTTCTAATTTTGAGGCTTCAAGCTTGATCCAAGCCCAGAGCCTGAGGAAGCTCAGTTTGACTTCACATCTTTATGCAGTAATATAAATCCTTCCACAAATTGATGTAAAGAGTCTCAAACATGGTTACTAAAATGATTTGTCCAATATGTGGCCAGTGTACAGTTTAGTTTTCATCTATTTCTATTTACTGTAGTTGAGTTGTATGAATTGAGTATTTTGGTAGGTTTCAAATTTTTTTGCCTGGTCAGGCATGTTGATAATAACTGATTGAAATTCTCATTTTCAGGTCATCTGGTTTATTATACCGGCAACAAGAAGCCCTCAAACAAGTCACAAGAATAATGCTCTTGCGTTGATTGTTCTGCTCCAATATGTTCCAAGATTATATTTGATATTTCCATTAAGTTCTCAAATAATCAAAGCAACAGGAGTGGTTACGAAGACTGCCTGGGCAGGAGCTGCATATAATCTGCTATTGTATATGCTAGCTAGCCATGTATGTTATTTTGATTGCTTCTCTTTTTCCATTTATTACTCTCTCAATCACACTTAGTTATCTGAAGTCTGAACCTTTGAAACCTACTTACTGGGTATGTATAGTTTTCTGCTTCAACAGTGTATCTCTTTGTTTTGTTGTTGCAGGTTTTAGGGGCAGCATGGTATCTTCTGTCTGTGGACCGATATACCACTTGTTGGAAATCCATCTGCAAAAAGGAAACTAACCCTGAAAACTGTTTTCTTTACCTGGACTGCAGTTCTTTGAATATTAAGCAGCGCATGATATGGGCAAATAGTACAAATGTTTTTAACAGCTGTGATCCCAATAAAGATATTGATTTCAATTATGGCATATTTGCAAATGCAATGACAAAGAATGTTGTCTCTTCATACTTTTTCCCAAAATACTTTTATTGTTTATGGTGGGGATTGCAGCAATTAAGGTATGAATTCGTTTTTCCATTCCATAAAAACTGCGAAATTATTTTATAAATGGTTCATTTGAATAATTCTTATGAAGATTCATTTTTTTAATTTCATTCATGCTATGAAGATGATTGTTGCTGCAACACATTTTACATTGACAAATGCTACATTATGTGCTGGTGGTTACTTGCATGACAGCACAATTTATAGCCTAAGAGAACCACCTGAGAAACAGATATTGTTGTTGATAATCATCTAGTTAGGAAGAGGTGATGGATCATTCATATTTATTATATAGAATTTTTTTTAGGAATATGATCAATGTAATGGACTGTCATTTGCCTTGACAAAAACAGATTCTGGATAAAATTGCAAATATCGCCCTTAACAGTTGATAAATTTGTTTATAAACCACTGAGACTGTTAGAACCTGATATGGACTTAGAAACAAATTGAAGAAGAAAGCGCAGATTGTATTAACTATTAAGCTCAATGATATCTAACGTATGTCAGTCAAAGGCATTTATACAGGAAAATACAGCGGAAATAAGCTGAATTGGACACAGGCATTCAAGAGGCCTGAACTCTCCTACTCTCTCTCTTTACTTAATTCTTTCTTACCTTGGTTCACTCCTCTCATCCCTTTTTATGCTTTCTGATCCCCATTCTGTTACAACTAGTTTTCTCCCCTAAAATCTAGTCACACTCATTCCATGCCTTGCCTATGGCTCTAATCACTTGTGGCTCTTCCTAGTATACACCTTAATGATAGGTTGTGTCCTAACAGACTGGTGGTCTGAAATTTTTCAAATTTCAAATGGACCTTAATTACAATTTCACCATGGTGTTTTTATTAAATTAACTTGTTTGGTTAAGCTATGTTGAGATTATATGGATTTAGAGGAGGAAAAGAGAGAACAAGCTCTAAATAATAGAATATAACATTGACATGTCACATATGGTGTAATGACGTGTCACAAAATACAATGCACTAACTCCTACTTATACTAATACTAGACTCTAATACTTATTAAGCAAGGAAACAAATCATGGAATACAATATAATATGGAAACCACTATTAAGAAATCATCTATGATACTTTAAAATATTCTAAAATATAATAATGATATTATAAGGTATTTTTAAGATATTCTAGAGGATGAGCCTTGAAGCAGCGGTAAGGTTGCTCCTTGTGACTGGAAGGTTACGGGTTCAAGTTTGGGAAACATTCTCTTTGCAAAAATAATAAGGGTAAGGCTATGTACAATCGATCCTTACTTTTACCCTCGCAAGTTGGGGAGCCTTGTGCACCAGGGTTTTCCTTTTATTCTAACACTCTCCTTCAGGCTAAAGCTTACTAAGCTTTAAGCTCGTTAGAATTAAACATATAAAGGAAAATAAATTAAAAATATAATGCAGTGATAGGAGACAACAACATTTCAGTTTGGGAATGGAGCTAGAGTGTCTAAGATTGGAGACGAAGCCAAATTGCATTTGGGGCAAGGGTATGGCTACATTGCATCTTGGACAAGATAATGCGAGACAGAGACTGGCCGGTGTGAGTCATAGTCAACATAAGTCATCAATATAGATATCATCACCTAAAGGTGTGTTTGGGAGTTAGAAAGGGAAGGAAAGGAGATGGATTGAGGGGGAAGGAAGGGTAAAGAAAGGAATGAAAATGAAGGATAAACCCTTACCCTTGTTTGGATGCTACAAAATCATAAGGGGAAGGAAATGGAAGGTTAGTTAAATTAAAATGATTAATTATAGAATAGATTTTTTATTTTATCCTTCTTTTTTTAAAATGATACTATACTATCATAAGTTTCAAAAAAAAAAAAAAAAAACTCTAAAACAAACTTTTTTTCTCTAAAAATGAAACTTGCTAATACAATAATGTAATTTTTAAATTGGAAAATTGAGTTGTCATTCCTCTAGAACCTCCCAATTTGGGGGGAACTTAGAAAAATGTTTTGAGGGTTTATGAAAACGGAAATTTTTTTCTTATGTTACAGGAAGTTTGTTATCTCCTGCTCTCCTCACTTCGATTTTTGCACCATTCCTTTTTTTTTTTTAATCCGGTGGGTCCCGCTCTTTTGTCTCACAGGAAAATTGCTTTCTCTTCAACTGTTGGAGAAAAGTAAAACCCTTATGAAAAAATATCTATCCCCTTCCCCTCTTTTTATAAGATTCCTAAATAAGGGAAAAGCTATTCATAAGCCTCTTCCTCCCCCCTCTCCCTTTCTCCCTCTTTAAATCTCTCGTCCAAACAACCAGAAATGATCGTCAGTAGGAGAAATCACCACATGTATGATTCATTAGTGCTAGTGCAAAAGGTTGACATGACAAATGTCTTCCAACTTTCTCCCCCTTAATGCGATGTTACTATATTGAAACGGATGGCACTGTGATGATACTATATTGAAATTATAAGGATTTGGTAGAGGAGGAAAAGATAGAGTAAACTCTCAATAATAGAATATAATATTGACATATGGTGTGTAATGATGTATTAGAAAATACAATCCACTAACCCAAATTTATATTAGTACTAGACTTTTAATTGTAATTAAATAAGGAAATTAATCACAAAATAAAATGAAATATGGAAAGCACTTCTAAGAAATCACCTAGGATACTCTAAAATATTATAAAATACAATAATGATATCATAAGATATGTTCTAGGTATTCTAACAAGCTATATAATGCTTTCTCTAGTACTTGTCCATTTACCCTCTTCATCCTCTGAAATTATCTTATACCGATTCTTCTGAACCACTTGAGGGAGATAATTCATAATTCCAATAAAGCTATAATGGTGCCTTCAAAGGAACTTGGTAAATCCTAGACATGTGGCCTATAAATTGATATGGAAAGGATTTTATCATAAGCTATCAACAGGAGTTTATGCATGTATGGAAAATCTAACTACCAGAGAATGTTAGTTTGGAATATGAATCTGGTGTGTAACTCGTGATGATCAGTATTGAATTTAGATATTTAATTTATGAGCTGGTCCAGCTGGAAAACCAAATTCGTCTACTTTGGCATCAGTTTTCATGAGAGTGACTCGAGATTTGGTAGTCTGTCACTAAATTATTTAGTTTTTATTGATAATGGTCAAGTGTCAATTAGTAAAAAGTTTAGAGTGAAAACAATTTTTCATTTATGTATATGATACTGACTTCAAAAATACCCTCAATCTCCTGAAGGAGGTATTCTAATGTGCTTGCCCTAATTATTAAATGTCTTGTGCTGCCCATGCCTCTCCAGCCAACTTCCAAAGCTGGTACATGAATCGGTCTGCTTAAGTTATGGATCCATTACTATTATAAACGAGATCAATGATTTTTTGGTTTAGCAATAATACCTTGCGTGTTTGGATTGCAGACTCTGATTTTGTTGCAAGAACTAATTAAAGATTGCAACTAATGAGGGATCAGTTCCTTAACTCCAAAGGGTTCAAAAACAAAGGAAACTATTAGTGTCACATTTCTTCTTTGATTTAGATGCAAGACACGAAAACTTTTACCAATTGAATGATTGGTATAATTTGGTTTAGGGATGAATGGTGTTCCTTTATGTAATGGATAGAGTACTATAAGATGCTTACTCTAAATAGCAGAGTGCGAAACCTTGTCCATGGGTAGTTATCTCTAAATTTTGAAATTTGTTGCCTATAGATGATATTGTTAGTTGATGTTGATTTTTTGTTATTCTCTTTGGCTTTGTTTTAGTTCTTATGGGCAGAACCTGTCTACCAGCACTTTTATTGGAGAGACGTCATTTTCTATTCTCATTGCCATCTTGGGTCTTGTTTTATTTGCCCATTTGATTGGGAACATGCAGGTATTTGTGGATGATTTGTTTTCAGGCTTATTTATCTGTTTATATAGTCATTAATAATTTATAGGGAAAAGTTCACTAATGTCCCTGTAGTTTACTTCAGAATCACTTATGCCCCTGTGGTTTTTTTCTTATCACATATGCCCCTGTGGTTTGTAAAAAGGTATGTTTTTTATCACATATACCCCTGTGGTTTCTTATTTTTTACAAAGCACAGGAACATATGTGATAGGAAAAAAACCACAGGAACATAAATGATTCTGAAGCAAACCACATGGCCATTGATGAACTTTTCCCTTGTATCCTAATTTTGATTCAACCAATTTGAAACTGTGATAAATATCTCTGGCACTTTATTACTATTGAATAAAATTCATTTTTTTATTCTTTTTTGTTTTTGTTGCTTTCATTAGCTTGCTACTAGTTGTTAAAAAGGTTTTTATTTCCTGTTATTCCATGTTAAACTAGTGTCTTATATTTTGTCAAATAGTTGTTTTTTTCCCCTGCATTTCCTTGTAATAGATAGTTTTCATTGAGAATAAAGTAACTTCACCCTTTTTTCTTCCTGTACCCTGTGCGAGTTGGAGATTTATAGCACCAAGTTGCCCTATATATTAGTTTTTACCGACTTTAGAAAAAATAAATAAATTATTTTTCATTGTTTGGTAGTGGGTTTGCCATGTCTATATGAGACACATTCTCATGTGACACTTCCCAGGCCAAATAGGCTGTTAAGACTTGTGTAGAATAAAATGTGCTTAGTTTTGTTTCCAGTTTGATTATCATCTGTGGTTGTTTCTCTGGTGTAGACATATTTGCAATCAATCACTCTAAGGCTTGAGGAGTGGAGGCTTAGACGAAGAGACACTGAGGAGTGGATGAGGCATCGCCAACTCCCTGAAGATCTTAAACGTCGTGTTCAACGATTTGTTCAATATAAATGGGTTGCAACTCGAGGGGTTGAGGAAGAAGCCATTCTACATGGATTACCTGCTGATCTTCGTCGTGATATCCAACGCCACCTATGCTTGGATCTCGTTCGACGAGTATGATTTCTGCTGAGTACTTAAAGACTATTCTATCATTTCTTATTAATTGTCATGTCCATTTCCATGTTTGGTATCTCCATAGAGTATAAACCTTCCTCTGCTCTTGTCCAAATTTTTAGTTTGGAGCATAATTATTCTATCACTGGCTGGTAATTTATGGTAGCTGGTAATCAGAATCTATTACCATCTGTCATTCGAACTATCAATGAGCGCTATTTGATATGAAGATTATTTGTCCAATGATACCAATTATCATAGATATAAAATTAACTTATTATAGGCATTTAACTCCTCCTCGCCTTTCATATTATTTTAGGTTCCCTTCTTCTCACAGATGGATGATCAGCTGCTTGACGCAATATGTGAGCGGCTGGTGTCTTCTCTCAGCACTCAAGGCACCTACATTGTTCGTGAAGGTGACCCTGTGACTGAAATGCTCTTTATTATCAGAGGTAGATTGGATAGTTCTACTACAAATGGTGGCAGGACTGGTTTCTTCAACTCAATCATATTGAGACCTGGAGATTTTTGTGGTGAGGAACTTCTCTCTTGGGCTTTGCTCCCAAAATCAACCACCAATTTGCCTTCTTCAACTAGGACAGTTAAAGCCCTTGGCGAGGTTGAAGCTTTTGCTCTTCGTGCCGAAGATCTCAAGTTTGTAGCTAACCAGTTTAGGCGCCTCCATAGCAGGAAACTGCAGCACACGTTTCGGTTTTATTCCCACCATTGGAGGACCTGGGCAGCCTGCTTCATTCAGGCTGCATGGCGTAGATATAAGAAGAGGATGCTTGCCAAAGATATCAGTTTGAGGGAATCCATTGCTTTGGACGAGACAGTGTCCATTGAAGGTAAACATGAGGAGGATTATTCTGCTGGCTCAAATTCTTCTCAGGCTAAATTGAACCTTGGGGTCACAATACTTGCTTCAAGGTTTGCTGCTAACACGAAAAGAGGAGCTTTGAAGATTAAAGATGATTTGCCCAAGTTACGGAAACCTGAAGAACCTGACTTTTCAGCTGAAGCTGATGATGATTAGTTATTATTGTTCAGAGGCAGTTGCTTTCTTTCATTGGCCTATAGCCTGCTTCAGATGTGTACATAACCAAGTTATGCCTATAACATGTATTTTATGCAATCTTCATCTGAGTAGGTTGATTAAGTCCTATTGAGTATGCCTTAAATCCTCATTTACTTTTTTGGTGCGTTTGATAGTAGAGAAATTTTTTTATTCTTGGAAATTGTGATTTTTAGGAATATGTTAGGAAAGTGAATTTTTCAGAAATGTTATAAAAAACAAAAAATCTATTTAATAGGCCAAAATATTTTCAGAAATATTAGCTTAAGTTTCCTGGTTCTTTATTTGGTTGATTGTGAATGATTGCTGGGAATGTGAGTTGATGTTACACAAGTAATCTTTATCTTTCCTATGAATGCATAAAGCAATGATTATATCACAACAATAATTTTTTTTCTTTTTTCTTTTTTTTTAATAGACGAGCAATTATTACTTTCATATGGAGTCAGATTTTAAAAAAAATATATATTTCATGTCTGAAAACATTTTATATTTTTAATATTTGGTGAATGGAGAGGCAGAGAAGTTTCTCCTTCAAACCCACGAGGCTTTTGGTCTTTTCATTCACAATCTTTTCTTCAATCTTCTTCCTTTCTACCTTCATCATCTGGCTGCTCAAGTCCACACCTTCAGTTCACCAGCAGATTCGTCTTCACTTCAACACATTATCATCTTCTTCTTCTTCTGTCGGTGATAGTGTCAATGTGGGTCCTCGATCTTTAACTGTTGAGTCCTTAACTAGCTTTACCAAAAACTTCATTGTAGCTGGTGTCAAAATTTCAACTTTGATTGATAACCGGTTTGTTAGGACCAAGAATACCTTTCTCTGGTTCAAATCTGAAGATGTAAGACAACATGTTGATGCTTCAACTGTTAATTTCATGGCAATGCAAGATAATGGAACTTCACCTCGAAGGAGATTCAGCAACGAATAGAAGAAGGTTCTTGGAGCTGGTTTACCAAGAAGGTTCAGCAACGAACAAGAGATGGTATTCTAAGCAGGGTTAATTATTTCATATAATTTGTGTGAAATTTTTCCACCGGGTGGGAATCTCAAGGGTATTCTTTGTTGGGATTTTGCTTCACAATTTTAAATTATGAAAATCTGATTTTTCTAGAAAATTTTCCAATTTTTTTTTCACAAGTATGTACAAGAGAGAAATGGGCATTCAACTTTCCTAGTCTCATCTTTGGGGGAAGTCAGCTGCTTATAGTAAGAGTGAGTAAATAGGATTCTCAATGTTAAGAGTTTTTCAGGAATCTAATTTTTTTTTTCTTTACTAAACACTCCGAGCTTTCCAGAGTCTTAGATATCGAATTAAATGAAGACATTTAAGAGGATAAGAGCATGTTCGATCCTTTTTAGTACTATTTTAGAAAGGGTTTAAAGTTTTAATCTTAAGAACCGCCTTGAATCGGACTAGTCGCACAGCTATGAATCAATTAGAATATCTGAATCCATAAAGTAACGACAAATATTATCAAATAATAAATATATATAATTAAAAAAAGGTAAAGGATTTCTCCAGTGAGATAAGTTATCTCCGGTGAGCTCAAAATGACGTCGTTTTGGAGCGGAAATCAATGTGTTTTTGTAATTTTAATATATTGAAGGGTTATGTTAGTCTTTATCATTATAATTTTTTAATCCTATAACCCCGAAACGACATCGTTTTGAGCTCACTGAAGATAACTTTATCTCTGGTACACGAAGAAATACTTTTCCCTTAAAAAATGCATAAATGAAAGATAAGTTTAACCTTCGTCAAATGGATTACAAATTATCAAAATAGAAAAGTAAAAGGTAAAGGTACTATCATAAAAAATAAAAAATAAAAAAAATCAAATATAATATAAAGTTAAATTTTCTCTCCATCAAATATCATTTATCAATGGGAGATGATTCTCTCCGGTTGCCGAGGAGAAAGCATCTCCTATTGTCTCACAGATTTATTTTTTAAGTTTTTTGTTTATTTTTTTATTAACTGAAATAAAGGGACCCACACAAAAAAGGTTTGAGTGACATAAGAGATGAAACTATCTGCAACATAAGAAAAGTTTTTGCCTTTATCAATATAAGAAAGTGAAAAATAGGAAGGTAATCTCACTGAAAGCAAAAGAAAATAAAAATAGTGGAAAAAAATTTGTGATATAGATCACGTGCTCTTAAAACTCTGCGTTATTAAGTGTACAGATATTGGGTGAGATTTAATAATTTTTCTGTCAATGATTTTATATGTATTGTAAACCCCAAATTAAACGAAATTAAATTTAGTATAAATTAATGTAACACAACTAGAATAATATAACAAGTTTTTATAGAATGTGAAGTGTAGTGGTTGAGTGAAATAAACTAAGCGAAGACCACTCTTTCATCTAAAAGTTAGGAAATATAGCACATTATTTTGACAATTTTTTTTTAACTCCAGCACTTTTCTTTATTTTATGTTAATTTCGTGTCTATATTATAAGAGTGGTGCTTCCTCATTGGAGACTATGAAAATGTACTTGGCGTGCTATTCCATAACAGGCCCATGACCCTTCGAAAATATCCATAAGATTGCCTTTGGAATAGTCCAGTGAAAAGAAAGTTTCTGGATCCAACTATTTAAAACATGCACAGACAATTACCCACGGAAAAGCGGAAACAAAGCAGAGAAGAAGACGGGCTCTTAACGTAAGAAAAATATAAGGTGGGCTTTGATCCAGTAAGCAATACAAAATTCTGAAGGGCTCTTAACAATTGTTGGCCTGCAGCAAATCAAGCATGGAAAGGGAACGAAATAGGATCCTAGCAACATATCTTTGGATTTATGATAGTTTAAATCTCGATTTATCATTATGATTTTATATTTTTATAATTTTTTTTCATCAAAACAATTTTACAAAAACTCCAAGCTCTTTAACAATTATATGATTTTTTGTGATTTTTGTATGTTATAATTTTACGTTTTATGATTTTTTATTTCCTTTTTAATTTTATGTAAAATCTCAATTTTAACTACGTGCATGCATTCAAACATCTCTACGCTTAGTGTTTGCACAATACGTCATATTATGAAAAACAATGAGATAACAAAACCTGCTTAGATTGCAAGTTGACATTATGAGATCAAAATTGCCAGCTTGTTCCAGATCCATGGACTCCGACACGTATCGTTGCACAGGATTCAGAGTTGTATTAGAATCTTTTCTATCCCAGTGTTGTAATGGCCTAATGGGTATGCATGTCCTAGCCTGATTTCTTAAATCTTAATTGACTTTTATTTGAATATTTACATTAAATCCTTCTAAATTATTATGGAGAACTTTATTTTGTTTTAGATATTAAAATTGATTTTTCATTATTTAATGTTATATTAACCAAACTCCTTAATCATGTCTTCAGGCGTATTAATTTTTATTAAAATTGAATATAATAAATTAATGTTTTCTTATCATTTTAGAGTACAATTTAGAAGCAATATAATAATTTCTATAATAAATTCAATATTATTTAACCAAAAGATTTATGCTGTAAAAATAATAATAAAATAGCTGATTATAGTATATAAAATTAAGAATACGGTATGTAGCATGGGGGAAGAGTTACTGTAACTTTTCCCAAATTAATTTCATATCTATCAAGAATATCAATATGAACAAGATCTGCAAGCTCCTTTCTCTCGTGGCCCCCTTCCTCCAATCTGATATTAATGTCAAAATTCAATCAGGTATGGTGGAGATTTTCCCTTTTATGTAAGACACGTGTGTTTTTATTTTAAATTAGGTGCACCCATTATCCTCACACCTTTCTGGGATGATAAAATATAGGTAGCGGTTCATTCACTTCAATTCATTAGGATATTTCCTCTAATGTCAAATAGAAGCAACTTAGTGGATGGTAATTTACCATGGTATAGCCTTTTGGTTGTTGGCTGCATGATTTTCTAGTGAGAAGAAAATTAAAAGTGCTGATTAAAATATAACGAGCTCATGCATATGCAAATGATAAGCATCAGATACCTACCACACACACATATCTCTCGATTGAAATTGTTCACTTTATAGTCCAATGGATAGTCAATTATGGATGGAGGAGCAGTTTTGATTAGATTAGAAAAAAAAGGTGTTGCCTATATCTAATTGCAAACGTGATGGTGCTCAAATGACTCACTTCGAATTGGGCCCCATTCATCAACTATGAGGAAAAAGAAAAGGAAAAAGTTGAATAAAAATGTTAATCTAAACATAGTGATCGGGGAACAGGTAAGCATGGTGCTCTAAAAGCCTGCATATCTACGAAAAGATGAGCACTAGTAAAAAGCATGTTTTGCTTCGTCGACTACTTGTTCCATCATCCATGCCTCTCTTAACTCCTATCTCACATTCTCTTTATATTATATTTTATTTATGTCAATTTAAATATCGTTTCAAAGCAATTATTCTATCCCCAAGGGAATTCGTACTCTATATTATATTATTCATTATAACATATAAAAACAAAACATAATGCAGATAAGATAATATTGGCTGATTAATAAGGAGAAAAGAATATTTGACAACCGTGACTTCTTAGCCTTTTTCATCTACTAAAAAATATATTAATAAGTCGTAGAAAGAATTAATTTAACTCAAAAATTGAAATTAGTAACTGAAATTATATTAATAATTTTATATATTTCTAATACATCTTCTCACACGAAAATTTATTAGATTTGAAAAGTGAATAATATACAGATTTATTTATCTATACTAAAAATCTTCAAAAAAACATGATGAATTATTATTTAAATAAGAGGTGAAAATCAAACTGAGAGTGTAAATATAATAGAATTAATTTAATTCAAAATTTAATTTATTGAATAAGGCCAAAATAATAATTTTATATATCTATATAGACTGAGTAAAGCTTCAAATGTCAGCATCTGCTTTTAAAAGGTAACAGAAAAAGTTGATTCATTCAGTGTTCCTTCCAAGACAATCCTTTACCTTTTTAGTGTTTTAGGTAAAGACCGAAGAGATCGAGATCTACATCATTGGAGGAGTGTGTGAGAGAAAAGCAGAGTTATCGTGGTTAATTGGATATATGGGTTGGTTGGTGTGTTTTAATGTGGACTTTGATCTTCTACTTTATAGAAGACTA